CTGTGCATGCCCCTGCACATGGGGGGAGGCAAATTGTGCATAGTTACTGGAACCTAATTTCAATTAAATTCTAACCAATTAAATTTTGCCACTTCAGGGAACTTTTAATTGTAAACAAATATCACTAGTGCTAAAGATCTGCTTTCTGACTCAAATACCAGCTCTTTAGGAAAGGAAAAGGAAAAGATTTTTTGGAGCCCTTGACTGAACATAGATTGTCCGGATGTTCCAAGAGACAGCACTAATTAGCTCTCTTTGCAAACCTCCTTGAAATGCAAAAGGTAAGCAAGGCCTTAGGTAAGGAAGGTGTTTTTCTATTGCTGTTAGTACATTTGCTATAGGCCTATTCAAAAGTCTACTAAGATCAATGGAAAGTTTTTCACTGATTCCACCAGGCCTAGATAGCATACACCTCCAAGTAACACAGGGAAACAAGTGTATGGGCGCATTTACACAAGATGGCTACTGTGCATTAGCCTAATAACACTGTGCAGCAGCATAGTGGTTATTAAACAAGCTAACCGCCTACTGAGCAGTGTTATTAGGCCAATGCACAGTAAGTGTCACTAAAAAACCATGCACCGGCACTACTACACAGTAACTCTAGTTACTGTACGTTCAGTTAGTACCTCTTATAGGTACTAAACTAAATGTGCAGTAACTAAGTAGTAGAGATAAAATCTTTTATTAGACCAACAAGATTTTTGCAAAAAAATTTCTTTAATTGCAAGCTTTCGGGCCCAAACCCCCTTCATCAGGCATTGGAGAAAAGATTGTAAAAGTTCTCCTGGGTAGAAATGAAAGTTCATGTTTCAGAGGATTTCACAGAGGAGTCAATAGATGGAAAATTCCTCTGTGAAATCCTCTGAAACATGAACTTTCATTTCTACCCAGGAGAACTTTTACAATCTTTTCTCCAATGCCTGATGAAGGGGGTTTGGGCCTGAAAGCTTGCAATTAAAGAAATTTTTTTGCAAAAATCTTGTTGGTCTAATAAAAGATTTTACCTCTACTACCAGTCCTGATTGCCTGTTCTTCTAGATCAATACTGCTACAACCTGGATACCAGTAACTAAGGCGCATTAATGAACATATAGACACGCCCTGTGTGTGTCAGGATTGGGAAGGGGCAGGCTCACTTCATTCTGTCCCCAGTTACTATTCATTTCAGGGTAGAGAAGTTTTAGCCATTTTCGGAGACAGGAGTGGGAGCATCTCCAAACACAGACCTCCGAAAGAATTATCTTCCTTGACTCAGCAGTATTTTCTTAGAAGCCATCTTCCCACAGATTTCCCTGCCCTCATTAGCAAAATATCCTCTTTCCTGGGGAATGAGATAGGGCTGCAACCAAGAACTGAAAATTCCTACTGCTGGGAGAAACATCAGTTCCTCCATGTATTTGCTTCAGAGGAAACCACCCTTTATAGAACAGCTTCTCCCAGCCCTTCCTTCAAACAATCCAGTACCTGGAAAAAGCCCCTTTGCTTTTAAACTTGGGAGAAGGAAGGGATCTTCGCGCTATTGCTCAACCTCTGCTTGGGGCAGGGGTCCTCATTTTATTATTTCCCTTTTTGTACCCTTTGCAAAGGAAAAGAGAAAAGAATCAAATGGTACAAGTTTATCATAAGTCTTGTGAGTTCATTGCAATTCTCTAACTAAACTGAAAGTGCTATCCTGTGGAAACAGGTCATCATTTGAGAACCTGAGCTTTCACTGTTGAAGAAAAGAGTTTGAAAACCTGAAGCCTATAGGCTTATAACCCAGAAGGCAAATGAGGACAACTGGAAAAATCGTATGGTTTCTAGCCAATTTCATTATGTTGAGGCAGGAGGAAAGGGGAAAGCTGTCTCATGACTTCGGAATGCTTGAAGTTAGGAATTCTGCTTTAAGTTCCTCTGCTGAACAGAGGATCCTTTGCTGTACATACACTATTTAGAAGGCATGGAAAGGAAATGATTCCAAGTCATGTTTGTGGAAATTCCAGGCCAGTCTAATAATATTGGATTACAAGGCACTTTACATTTGCAAAACTCTTTGTGACTCACTCCTCATAACATTCCTATGAGGTAGGAGGGAATGTGATCCCTGTTTTACAGAGAAGGAAGTCAAGGCACAGGCAGTGAAATGATTTTCCCAAGGTCACACACCAAGTCAACTGGCAGAACAAGGTTTTAAGTGCAAGATTCCATGCCTCTGAGACCCTTGCTCAGTTCACTAGAGAGCAGTCTAGTGCCCCCCTAATATAAAAGAGAATAAAATAACAGCCCGAGTCCTATAAAGTACCAAATACTTACTGTTCCCTCCCACTTCAAAGGGAAACTGCAGATGATCGCATCAGCCAGCAGTTGGAGGTAGACACTCTGGAGCAGGTTCAATACAGCCTGGTTTTGGATTGCAGGATGCTTTCTACAGAGTACACATTTCTCTAAGCATTCATTTAGCTGGCAGCAGTCTAAAGGCTGGATATTGACAAGTCCTGAGCATTCCCAATGGAGTCAAAATCGAGCCATAAGCCCTTCAGGGTCAGACTAGAAACAGTGACAATAGCTACCAACCACCAACGCTGCTTGAAAATTACTGTCATTAATTTGTAATAACACTAACAGTGGTTCTTAAGCCAAGATATTTCTGAATTGTATATGCCATAGTCCTACAGAGAGGTAATGAGCTGTGGACCTCATCTGGGCTCACGGTTACAAAATGTCACCTGGAACAAATTAACAAATAATTACCACTTAAAGTGAAAAGATTTTCTTTGTTATCCTCCAGTTAAAAATTGTACTCTGCGAATGTTTAAATACTGTATAGAATGAGTTCATTATCAGGAAGAGAGAGGAATGATGCCTCAGAGAGTTATATGTCCACTAGAATTGGAGTTTGGGTAGTGTGCTTTCAGAAATAATTTTATTTTCCAGTAATGACAATATGCAGTACCATATAAGAAATGAAATTGAAGAATTGATCTTATTCGTCAAATACAGGATAGCTTCAATATTAAAATTAACATATAAATTTAGCATCAATCTTATTTCCCCACTCATGTCTGCTGAGTAAATGCACATAAAGAATGAATCACTGAAACAGTATACTGAGAGAATCAAACTCATTTTTCAAATATGTCAGCACAAATGTGAGCTGAGCCTGTTTACCATGCACCCAACAAATGTTCTAGAGATGCCCCTTCAGACCTCTAACAAGGGCAAGTGTAGGTCCCTGCAGGAGAAACCACAAGCATATTTGAGACACCCTATAAAGAAGGCTGGGCTGTATCAGTTCTGTGAGATTTGTTCACAAACATTCCTGACTCCAAGTAGCAGCCAACCTCCCTCCCTCTCTCTCCTTACTTTCATAATCACTGCTGGATTGTAAGCACTCCACAATCATTACTAATTGTTACTGATGGAATGAAGAACCATAGCTAGTATCCTCGTATTCACAGATAGAGAATTTGATTAAGTGACATGCCTTGGGTCACAAGGGCAGCCTGTAGCAGAATTAGGAAATAAACCCATGGGATCCAGATTCTTAATTAACCATTATCCTTCCTCCCACTTCTACAGTTATCAAGTGAATGGAGGTTGCTAGGTCAGGCTCATAAAAGAGAGATGAGTATTTTACTACCATTTTCCCTTCACCCCACATGAATGTATGGAACAGTACCAATGACAGCAGTAATTTAAAAACCTAACAGCACTAGCTGGTTGCTATGCTTCACCTTACTGGACACCCTAGGACAACACCCTACTGTCAAAAATATCTTCCCTTGGATTTGCATGGGATTTTCCATTCTTAGTTTTGTTTTTTGGTGGCTGGTCAATATCTCCAAAATTACTCCTAGTTTTTGTTTATACAGCTCTGGTCTTCAAAAGCAGAAATATTTGCTCCAGTTTGGAAATGTTAAGTTTACTAAATCCAAAATCAGTCCACAGGATAGAGTTAGAAAATGCCAGTGTACCTACAGAGATAACTATCATACCTGAAGCAATTTAACTAGTCACAACCAACAATTCTATGAAGAAATAAGACCATCTATGTCTCATCTGTTCCCATTTAATCCAATAGCACACATATCCCTATTGATTTTAATAGGAACAGAGCCACTTGGTGTAAATATAATTTATCACAACTGTGAAGGAAAAGCTACTGAAATGGGGAGAAAACTGTTGATTCACAATACTGCTGTGACAAATCACTGAAGCTGCAGAAACAGATGGCAGCCAGTATTATCCTGTTAGAGCTCCGCCTGTGGAAAGCTGGATTCAAATGTGACTTAATTCAAGAGTGAAATGATTATAGTAACAGCAATCCATAGGGGTCCATTGTCCACACTAAAAGGTCTCCCCACAATGTTGCACAACTGCTAGGATCTTTTCTGGTCCTGATCCTGCCTTCTTGGGCACACAATGAATTGAGCTGTCTGAGACTGACTGGGTGAATACCACTGTTGCATTTGCAGAGATGCATGGGCAGAGCTA